CATTCGGAATTTTAAAATCTTATTTTTAACTATGTTTTGAACAATTACACGCATTTGCAGCTTGTTGTAAATTTATGTACCTTCACTCTTATTTTCTAGTCTAATTTGACCGGACTATGTTGATTACATCGAATGAACTAATCAATATAGCAACTCATATTTGATTTTATGTTGCTACAGGCCTTTCAAATGAAAACAAAAAAACAGACATCACATTATTTTTTCAATAAGTCTCAATTATTTTTGATATTGTGTTTCAAATCAGTCTCAAATGTTTTTGAAGGTGTGTTTTCTGTTGGTTGATTTTTGGTTAATATATTTGAAACTGTTCTCTAGGAGCTGTTCAAGTATTACATAAGCATATTTATTACAATTATTTGCCCCCCCCTCATCCCCCTTGTCAGCATAAGTAAGCAAAGCTTTTACCCCCTTCCCATGCTTACGTAAACATTGTTATATGAATTTTTCATTTTTGAAACATAGACAATGTGTGGATTGCAATATGCTGCTGACCTAATAACCTTTTAGACTCCTCTGCCCACCATGTCATCAATAATAAAACGGTAATCAGCTGGCGTGAAATATGCTTTGTTACAACGCAGCTGTTTACCGTTTACAAAGTCGTAGGGCTCACTTGGGTTTGGCATTTTTACCACCACTTGGGCATTTCATGCATATACTCACACATATAATATTATAATTTCTATTGTGTGGACGATTCTAGAATCAAAATATGGGAAATTCAAGAAAACTGAAATCATGTCAAAAATTAAAGAGGCGCCGTTAAAATGTCCTCAGAAAAAGTTCAATCTTTCGTCATAAATAATCGTCTGAAATATAATAGCTTTGCTTTTGTGATCGATGACATTCATTTTGACTTGATTTTGATATTTCAATCATGTTTATTTAGCTCAACCGGTTCAAATTTTTAGTATATCTGTCCTTCATTTGTAACTACATAAAAAAGGACACAAAAACATTGAATGTGCACCAGTATTAGCAAAGGAAAATATAATTTGTTTGGTTAGGGTTTTGACATTTTTGGATTTTGACAAGTGTATACATTCTAATTCAAATTCAAATAACTTGTTTTTTATTTTGTAATGTATGAAATATGTTTGAATTGTTATATTTATTGGAAATAATTTTGGGCACCTAGCCTAACCTGTTAGTTTCACTTTCTAACAATGCTGAAATCTGAGAATGACTCTGAAGTGGAGGGTATTCTCACTGCAGGCTTGGAAAAATCACCGAGTACAAATGATAAACCGCTATCTCCCATTTTGATTTCTAGTAATTTGAACCGAAAGTTTTTATTGGGAAAAAGGGCAACCCATAAAAAGGTAAGAAGAAAATTGACTGATAAATTTGAAGACTCCCTTTCAAATCCAACAACATCAAATAGAGAGAAATCTTATCCACTGTTACAAGAGTTCAGTGAAGAAAGTTTCACCCTGAGCCAAAGTGAGGATCTAATAAGTTGTCTCAATAGATTGGAAGAGATTGAAAAAAATAGGGACCAAGTTTATAAACTCATCGTCAATAACTCCAAGGAGTTTTGCTTCAAGAAGCCCATTTCACCAGCACCAAATAAAATAAAAAGAATTAAAAGTCATGTCGTTTCCAGTATTAACGAAAACCAGTCCGACCTTATTGAAAATGAAAGTATGTTTAATGTTACACAGATTCCTAATGACAAAACAAAATGTTCTGGTTTCCAAACAGCCACAGGCAAACAGTTGTATGTTCCAGAACATGTTATAAAAAAACATGAGAAACTTTTTGAAGACATACTTATTCCAAGTCAACAAGCTGATGATACTCGTAAAAATAAATACAACTTTCTTTCTAAGGCCACATCTAATGTGTCTATAAAAAATGACTGTGAACAAAGTATGTTCAAGAACAATATGAAACAATTTGGGATTTCAAGTAAAACTGACTTCGAACTTGAAACCGATAGGCTCCATCAAAATATTAGTGATGTAGAGGAGGCTTTTTCTTTCACACAACAGATTTGTGACTCTGAAATCAGCAATTCTCAGATAATATCGGCTGTGGATAATGTCCTTAGTGAAATTAACTCATCAAATGGAAATTTGGAATTTAGAGGTTTCAGTTCTAAGGAAATTCTCGAGTCTAGTACTATTCATCAACAGATTTTACATATCCACAAAGACAAAATAAATAAAATGGGCAAGTCAAATAGTGGAAGTGTTTTCGAGGTATCTAGGAAGCATAAAATTTATTTTACAGATTCACCGCCCAAAAAAAGATTGAAGCATGAAATGATTCCCAAAGTTGTTGCAGAACAACAAAATCTAGGGGTGAAGGATAATGTTTTATCTTCCTATATTAGCTCTGGAGGTTTTGTGAGTGCATCTGGAAAGTCTTTGGTGGTATCATCAGGCTCTTTGAAAAGAGCAAAACATATTTTTGATCAAGTAGAATCAGAAATGATCAACGACAAGACACTTATATCTCACGAAGGTAGTGCATATCTAAAGGATTCTATCACTGATCAATCAATTTCAAAGAAAGATGAATGCCACAGTGATTCCTTAGGAGTAAAAAAGAATTTGACAAGTGGTTCTTTGAACTTGCCTCCAGAAAAGAGGGTAAAGCAAGAAATGGTCCCTGAAGTTACGTCAAAACAACAAAATCCGAAGATGACTGAGATTATGTCGTCTTTCCCAGCAAACTTTTCCTGTAACAACTCTGGAGGCTTCTCAAGTGCTTCTGGAAAATCTTTGGTACCATCTTCACAGTCTCTGAAGAAAGCAAAACGATTTTTTGATCAAATAGAATTGGAAGTTATCAGTGATAAGAGCTTGAAATCTTGCCATGAAAATGTCTGTTTTAAAAATTCTATAACTGATCAATACAACAATGTTCATACAGAAGTGAAAGAAAATCTACCAAATAATATAGAGTTTAGAGTACCAGCTGAAGAAAATACTGTTTCTGAAAATGGTGATAAGTTGAAAATAGCATTAAATACTTTAAGTAATACTAAATCGAAGGCATTATATAGTGTTAAGGATAAACTGAAATTTTTTGATAAAATGTTAGAAAACGATGACATTAATTTTATTCCTACATCCAGTGCATCTGAAAATAAGTTCAAAATGTCCGGTAGATTTGTGAAGGGAAGCCAAAGTGATTTTACTGCTATTGATAATGTTTCTTCAAGGAACAACATCCAGGAAACAGGACTTCCAAAAATAACAGCACAAACGGATGCAAAAAATAAACTGAAACTCTTAGATGAAGCAATAAAAATGGCTGAAACTAAATATGGTACAAGTGATGAATACTCAAATTATTCCCCTCTGTCGTTTAGTAGAAATGCTGTAGACTTTGCTGGAGGTTCCAGTAGTGTTAGCAGGAACATAGTTAGGACATCTGAGTCTGTTGTACAAGCATCAAACACGAATTTTGAGAAAACAAAGGGTAATAATACTCCAGTAAGGTCAAACCTAAGCATGAATAACTCCTTTGGGAGCAACAGGCAAGTAAACAAGAGAAAATTAGGTGTATTTTCTTGTAAACAAATACCAATATCAGAAACAAAATTGAACAGAGCCAAAAAACTATTTCATGAAGAATTTTTCGATATGTCGCCAATAAAGCCAGTACAACAATATAATGTCCAGGTGTCGACCCCTCTCAGACCAAAAATACAGAATATTATTCAAACGTCAACCCCTCTGAGAAATAGTTTTTGCTCTACACCTGTTAAAAACAGCAATTTGGGGTCTATTGGTTTCAATACTGTTTCTGAAAATTCAGTTGTAGAAGCAACAGAGGAGAAATCGGATGGACTGTTCCTTGACGATAAACTACTTGTAACTTTTGATGAAACTAATGGGGGATGTTGTTCAGACATTGAAGATGATTTAGAGGCTGAACGTAAACGTTTAGAGAAGAGGTTGAAGATAATCACTGAAAGGAGAGAAGCAGTTTTGAGGTCAAAAGAGAGGAAACCAGATGACTATAGAAAGTAAGTTGAATTTGAAACAATGTTGTTATTTTTAAGGAAAGCAATATTAATATCACAATTGGGATATTAGTTTTACTCACATCTGTGGAAAAGTTTTGGCAATTAATAATAATAATAATATCGTTTATTGTGCATAAAAATACATTTTAACATAAAAGGAAAAGAATTAGCCACCCTTCCTAAAAATTATACAGTGAGTGTAAGAAAATGATTATAATAATACTTATTCATTATCATAACAATGATAGAGAAGAGAAAAAAATAATAGATCATATAGTTGCTAATAACTCTTAATAATCTGAACATTATTTTGGTCAATTAAACAATTTGATTGCACTACCATACATTGAATTTTAAATAAGCACTGAGCAATTGATGAATATTATGATTTAAAAGGGGTAAAATTTCATTCAGATAAGAAGGTGCTATATAAGAAAAACATACTAGAAATTTAGAAGTATGGTGCCTAAGTATGTTGAATGAGTGTGTATGTCAGCATGCCTGCTTAATAAACTATATGAATAACTAGGTGTTTTAGTTTGAAGCAACTTAAAAAAAAACNTAGGAGCACAAGAAAGAGTGGTTCAACGACTTGTAAAAGAGTGTTGCCTCGGAAAAATTCTCAATTTTTTCAAGTAGAACTTCGCTTTCAAGAGGGCCAACCACCAAGGACTCCAACTGCAGAGTTCGAAGAAAAAATGCTCGATATTTCATCGCCCTGCTTATCTTGAACACACTGTATATTTTGATGAAATTCATGTTAAAAAATTGATTAACTTGGTACTTCATTTGTTTCAGACCTCGACCTGGAGTTTTATATCTGGCCAAAACAAAACAAAATAAGGTTCCTCTAACTTCTTTTGTGGATGGTAGAAAACCTGGTGACACTTGTAATTATGATCTATCGAGTATTTCACCCCAAAATACAGAAAAAATCAATTTCAAGGAGTGAGTACTTTTTTCAAAAAGATTAGTTTGTAAATATTTTCAGCCTTCATACTTGCTAAATGATCTTCTCAGGTCTGCTTCGATATTAAATACTGAAGATGGTGCTACTGTTATACCTAATTCGAAAAATTTGATTGGTCTGTCCGAAATTGAATATGCGTTTAGGACTATGCCAGGCGTAGAAGAACGTCTGATTCCAAAAGGCTGGATCAGGAATCATTACAAATGGGTGGTTTGGAAGTTGGCCAGTTATGAGAGAATGTTTCCTTTGCAGTTTAATCATTCTCTAGGTGTTGAACATGTAATTCAGCAGCTAAAATACAGGTTTGTATTAGTTTGATTTTTGAATTGAGGATGTCAATGATTTCGATCACTAAGTGATCGAAACACGTGTCAAACAAAAAGAAGATGTCAATGAAGTCGTTTTTGGAAAAGTAGCTATGTAGTACCTACTTTCGAAACTGGCGCAAAAGAAAACATTGAAAATTATAAACCTATAGGTATGCTCTCAGTGATTCTCAAACTTTTTGTTACGGGTGTTACTAACACCCATACTTACTTGGCATTGTGAGGATCTAGTCATTAATCAGCAATATGGTTTCACAGCTAGGGGATCTACAATTACCAACCTCCTAGCAGATCAAAATTAAATAATCAAAAGTTGCAAATCAGGCCTACAAATTGATGCAATCTTTTCAGATTTTAGTAAAGCGTTTGATCGTGTTAATCATAATTCATTGGTACAGAAGTTGGTTTTGTTAGGTTTTCCCAATTTTATTACTCACTGGATAGGCGATTATCTCAACAACAGGTCACAGGTAGTCAAAATTAAAAACTTTGAATCAGAATGAATCTTGGTACCTTCTGGAGTGCCACAGGGATCTCATTTGGGCTTACACTACTGTAAATTCTTGATTTTTACTGATGACCTGAAGCTATATTCATCTATCGAAAGTATTGAAGATTGTCATAAGATACAGGATGATATCAATTCTCTATACGTTTGATCGGAAAACATTTCGCAGTACCTACTGAAGTGAAAAAAAATGAAACAATTTCTTTGCACTCTATACAAATGATATACAAAAATGTCGTTGGAAACCCGCATAGAAATTGTATGTGATTTCAAGAAATATTTCTCAAGGCTTTCTTTAATGCGATAAACAGAGTGTTGAAAGACCGAAATAATCCCATATAGTTTCGGAAAAATGAATAAATGAACCATAAAAGATTATTGTGGGATGCAGTAAAACAATACTAATGAACGTCTAAACAAATTTTATTGACAATAAGTAAATACAATATGAAGAATACACAAATTACAATAATAGCACCTAACTTGTTTTTAAATCGTTTTTGTATGAACCCACCTGCCGTTTACGTTTTTTCAACTTTGATGATTAACTGATATCTGAACATTGTTCATTGATATCTGAATATTTCAGAAAACACATTTTCGTGTGTTTGAATTAAATCTTCAAAAATGAACCTACATATTTTGTATACAACTGAGTATAAAAAAAATATTGTGCTACACTAAAAAAAAAAAATTAAAACGAGTGTGTTTATATTTGTCACTATTTTTAAACTTCTCCTTCCCAACCTAGATAAATATTTTTAGCATTCTATTGTGTTTTACTGACAATATTTAATACCTACCTATGGTTTTTATTTCCGATTAGATACAAAAAAAATTAAAATGTATACCTATGAATATTTTTTATACAGGTATTCAGTTTCACACAAAACACAAGCACGACAAGAAAATCCTTAAGGCGTTCTCAGAGCGGTTCCTGTGTGAAAGTAGCGATTTACATTTCAACACATTAATAAATAATCCATCCATTCATTTGGAATATAACGAAAAAAAAAACAAATTAGGGACGAATTTAAATGAGAAAATTATATCAAAACATTAAAACAGTTATACACTATTTCACCACAACATCGAAGGGTGGTTTAATACTGACCTTTCTCAATCTGACAATATCTGATCCTTGAAAGTTGGGGGTAAAAGGTCGGCTGGGAGCCAACTGTTTTTTTAAATGTCCACCTTCGTCTTTATTCTCTGACTTCAGCTGCTTATAATCCAGAGATTTCGGCTCTTTACCATGTGAGTTGACTTCGATAGACCGGGCAAAACAACTTTTATAACTTGGGTTTTCATATTCACCACCCAAATCGAATTGTACTTTATCACTCATGTTTGTGAATTTGTTTTACAAAAAATGAAATTAACACTATCCAATGTTCAATATTCATCTAACACGAACACGAATACGTTTTAAAATTAAATACATGACATGCATGTAACCACATGCTACACCTGGACCACTACTGATTTCAAAAAGTCTTTTGAAGCGTTTTGAAACGCGCCAATGAACAATCCTAAGTGCGCATGACCAGAAGTATGTAAAGTGTGCTGTAGTTATTTAGCAAATAGAAAATTTGAGTTACCATTTTTGGGTTTACTTTTTATATGGATATACATAGTTTTTTCAAATAGTGGTTATTGATTATTCTTTATACCTATTGAAGGAAACTGGTATTTTAACTTATTTATTTTCTTGAAACGATTGACATCTAGTGTACGATAGAAGTAATAATTAATATCCTTTGAGCCTCGTTAACAATAGGGAATTTTTTTATCGATGATGGCGTTAGTGTGTACAACCATAGCATAGTCAACTTTATTCTATAGCACAGTATAAAATATATGGCACAGTATAAAGTATAGGTATTATTTTCATACTATGACCATAGTATAAAGATGTACAACAAATAGTAATCTAAAACGGTAATCAGCTGGCGTGAAATATGCTTTGTTACAACGCAGCTGTTTACCGTTTACAAAATCGTAGGGCTCACTTGGGATTGGTATTTTTACCACCATTTGGGCATTTCATGCATATACTTACACATATATACTATAATTTCTATTGTGTGGACGATTCTAGAATCAAAATATCGAAAATTCAATAAAACTGAAGTCACGTCAAAAATTAAAAATACGCCGTTAAAATGTCCTCAGTAGAAAAAGTTCATTCTTTCGTCATAAATAATCGTTTGGAATATAACATCTTTGCTTTTGTGATCTATGACATTCATTTTGACTTGATTTTGATATTTCAATCATGTTTATTTAGCTCAACCGGTTCAAATTTTTAGTATATCTGTCCTTCATTTGTAAGTACATAAAAAAGGACACAAANTGCAGTTTAATCATTCTCTAGGTGTTGAACATGTAATTCAGCAGCTAAAATACAGGTTTGTATTAGTTTGATTTTTGAATTGAGGATGTCAATGAACTTGTGATGCACTGTTTCAAACCTTTGGTGTAGTAATAAATATTACTGGAAATTTTTTCCCAACACCAAACCGTTATTTTAACACCTTGACATGTGTTTCGATCACTAAGTGATCGAAACACGTGTCAAACAAAAAGAAGACGTCAATGAAGTCGTTTTTGGAAAAGCAGCTATGTAGTACCTACTTTCGAAACTGGCGCAAAAGAAAACATTGAAAATTATAAACCTACAGGTATGCTCTCAGTGATTCCCAAACTTTTTGTTACGGGTGTTACTAACACCCATACTTACTTGGCATTGTGAGGATCTAGTCATTAACCAGCAATATGGTTTCACAGCTGGGGGATCTATTATTACCAACCTCCTAGCAAATCAAAATGAAATAATCAAAAGTTGCAAATCAGGCCTACAAATTGATGCAATCTTTTCTGATTTTAGTAATGCGTTTGATCGTGTTAATCATTATTCATTGGTACAGAAGTTGGTTTTGTTAGGTTTTCCTAATTTTATTACTCACTGGATAGGCGATAGGCAACAGGTCACAGGTAGTCAAAATCAAAAACTTTGAATCAGAACGAATTTTGGTACCTTTTGGAGTGCCACAAGGCTCTCATTTGGGACCCCTGCTGCTCAGTCTATTTATAAACGATTTTGGCAACTCAATTCATTACTGCAAATTCTTGCTGTTTGCTGATGATCTGAAGTATATTTTCCTAACGAAGGTATTGAAGATTGTCACTTTCATCACTATTTTTCAGCCATAATATCTGTCAGCTCCAGAGTTGAGTGAAAATTATAGACCCATAAGTATGCTCTCAGTGATTCCCAAACTTTTTGAATTGTTAGTAACACCCATACTTACTTGGCATTGTGAGGATCTAGTCATTGACCAGCAACATGGTTTCATAACTGGGGATCTACAGTTACCAACCTCCTAGTGTATCAAAATGAAATAATCAAAAGTTGCAAATCAGGCCTACAAATTGATGCAATCTTTTCTGATTTTAGTAAAGCGTTTGATCGTGTTAATCATAATCTATCGGCACAGAAGTTGGTTTTGTTAGGTTTTCCCAATTTTATTACTTACTGGATAGGCGATTATCTCAACAACAGGTGACAGGTAGTCAAAATCAAAAACTTTGAATCAGAACGAATCTTGGTACCTTCTGGAGTGCCACAGGGATCTCATTTGGGCTTACACTACTGTAAATTCTTGATTTTTGCTGATGACCTGAAGCTATATTCATCTATCGAAAGTATTGAAGATTGTCATAAGATACAGGATGATATCAATTCTCTATACGTTTGATCGGAAAACATATGTTTGGTCTGATAACACGTTTCTCTCTCCCACTATCCGAAACAAACCTACCTCGAGTCCGGTGTTCCACAAAATTCCGATCGGATGTCATGAAAAATGCAAAAAGTTTAGCTCCATGATAAAATACATGGGATTTTGCGCCATAACCCGCCTTGTTCATCTACTGATTTGAATTTCCCGCTGTACGCGCGGTAGCTTCTCATTAGTCGACTGTATGACGGCAAAAGTGAAGGAGTGGGAAAGAGACACGTGTGATGTAGTCGTCCCCATTCGCCAACGTCTCTCTCTGAAACACTTACCAATGACGAGACACGTGCGACCTTGAAGTTGGCAAGAGACACGTGTGACCTTGAAGTGGGCTTCGAAATCGCCAGAATGAAGCGTCATAAGAAAATACAATGGATTTTGCGCTGGAACTCTCCAACCGTCTCAATTGTGACATTATTGCAATTTCACTGAATACTCTCAAAAAACAGTGTAGCAACAGAACAGAATTTAATAGATAACCCGCAAAGATGATGATTTTAAGTTTATATCATTTACATTTTATATATTTACATTGCTTTCTGAGAATGGTTCTCTGTATGGTTTCCGACAGTGAAGAAGATTTAATGATTTGGTTCACAATTTTGAATAAGCAAATGAGATTTGCAAGTGGTTGATATAGACAACGAATAAAACTGACTCAAGAGTTCTTTAGAGTACTCAATTGGTTGGTAGNAATAAGCAAATGAGATTTGCAAGTGGTTGATATAGACAACGAATAAAACTGACTCAAGAGTTCTTTAGAGTACTCAATTGGTTGGTAGCTTGGGCAATTCTTATTTTTGTGATGTATTTTTGTTTCATCTTGATATACTCCGCTCCTTGAATAAATAGGGTATTCTCACCAAAACGTTTCACAGGTATGATCGTGAAATCGACAAAGCAGAAAGACCAGCGCTCAGAAAAATATTCGAAAAGGACGACGCGCCCCAAAAACGAATGGTTGTTTGTGTTTCTGATATAAAACAGGTGAGTTTCGAATGCATTCATATGACATTTACATGCATTAATATTAAAGAGAATTATTGTGTTGAGTATTGTAGGTAGATTCGAATAAGTTCGAACTGGAACTCACAGACGGGTGGTATGGAATACGAACCGTAGTAGATGATCCTCTGTGCTATCAAATTCTGAAGCAGAAGATAAAGATAGGAACGAAATTGATTACGTGTGGAGCAGAGCTAATGAACTGTGAAGGATGTTCCCCACTAGAAGTAAGCACTTTATTATTTTATGTGATGGAACGGCTGAGACTTGATTGAAAATTCGTAACGTATTCAAGAAACAGTATTCACTAAACAGTGTTTTGCTATACAATAGCTTATTCAGGCATGTCTGTATGCTGTCTGTTCAAAAATTGAGGTGAATTTTCGTTTTTCTCAAAAAATATTCATTTATACATCAATTTCTATTTTGTCCTCGTCAAAGTAGTCCCCTTCAAATATAATACACTCTGCCAGCGTTTTTACCAATCCTCCAAGCAGTTCTTATATGCACTGTTTGGTATATCCTTGAGCTCTGTACGATTCAGTTTTATCTACTGTCGTCGAAAACGCCGTCCTTTCATGAGTCTCTACAATCTTGAGAACAGAAAAAAGTCACCCAGTCACTTTCGAATATAGTTTAAATAATCGGACCTTATATTCTGCTATTGAAACCATTCTACATTCTAGGTGTGATCCTAGACTCCACACTTAGCTATAAATCACACATTTCCGCTGTAATTCAAAAATCTATAAAGATGCTTGGCTTTATAAAGAGAACGACTCAAGATTTGGAACCTTTGGTGTAGTAACGAATATTACTGGAGTATTTTCCCAACACCAAACCGTTATTTTTAACACCTCGACACGTGTTTCGATCACCAAGTGATCATCTTCAAAGAGGAAGATTAAAAAATTAATCGAGGTGTTAAAAATAACTATTTGGTGTTGGGAAAAATCTCCAGTAATATTCCCCTCATTACGTTACACAAAAAGTGAAACTCGAGGCCGTACAGCACAATTTCCTGCGATATATTGCCTTCAAGATGCGTGTATACTATGACTATACTGCATTGGAATGCATTTTGAACTTACCTTCTCTTGAGGCTCGCAGAAAACATAGAGATTTAATACTTCTATTCAAAATTATCAATGGACTGAGTATCAGTCCCGAGATTCTATCCAAAATATCTTTACATGTCACCAGTCGTTCAACTAGACAGGTGCAAACGTTTTACGTTTTCACAGATTTTATTATTCATATTACAGCTTTATTTCTAGAATACTTCGATTGGCTAACTCTTTAAATAACCTTCAAATCTTTAATATATCAGTTTCTCGCTTTAAAAACCATATTTTTCATTCAGCCATCTAATATTCTCTGCTTGTTTTGTTGTATTGTGTCTAGTGTTACTCGCCTGTAAGAATTATATTGGTTCATATTGTTATACATTTTAATCTACTTGTTATCTTACTTTGGAATCGTATTATTCTTATAATTTACTTTTGATCTACTTTATTGCATCAAGTACTATATAGCACTGTACTACTTATATCTGAATTGGGCTTGCCCGTGTATATATATAAATTACACCCACAATATATCATATACATCATATTATTTACAGTTGAAAATAAAATAATTATATATCTGACATATACATATTAAACACACAATATAACAATAATTTAACAGTTACAATCATTCGGGAATACCTTGCAACTCTAGTAACATTTGTCTAGTAAGAGTTTTTTTTAATGCTCCTTTAGAATAACTTGTCTGTTTTAATTTGTGTAATAGCTGACGGCAGCGCATTGTAAATGCTGACTGCATTATATAGTGGTGATTCTTTTAATTTTGAGGTTTTGTGTCTAGGCACCTTTAATAAATTTCCATTACGCGTTGGATAGGATATTCATGACATGATGAGGTTTTTTCAAGCAGTGACTCGTTTTTCTGGCGTAGTTCACACATGAACAACATAAAAAAAATAAAAAATCTCTTTTTTTTTGCACGTACACACCCGAAGAAGCACGAAGACATACCCGATAAAGTTATTGTATAGCTTTGACTATAGACCATGGAGATTCATCTTGATATAGATAGATACATCTTTATTTGCTCCGGTTACATATAATGTACATATATAAACTCCAAGGAGTATGGAATATGTCAGTAATAAAATAGCAAATCAAAGCTTTACATACATAATCAATATTATCACACAAGTAGTTTTAAGACAAAAAAATATATAAAATCAGGGATATATAAATAAAGTGATCCTTTTCACAGTTAATGAAAAGTTCTAATTTATTTTCTATCACAAATACTACTGCTTCATATATAGAGAGATTTATCAAAGTTGCAATTTTGCTCCTAATAAAAACTTCTCTGCAGCTATCGTTCATTTTCATCTTATAGATATACCTGATACATTTTTTTACAGTATGAGTTTCCTAGAGATATCAACAGAGTTTCCCCAGAATATAATTCTGATTGCATATGTTTATATTTTGATTATTATATTCAAAGGTATTCGACTCTGGCAAAGATCTATTTGCGAAATGAATTATTTGAGTTTTGTCAGTATTAAGTAGTAAGTGATTTGCTGTGAGGAAATTGTTTCATACATCTAGCACATTCGTTGTCTTTGTCATGACCAACTGAGAGTTCTATTCTTTTACGATGACTGATATATCATCAGCATATAATACAACTACATTCATTCATTAACTACATTTGCTTTTTTATTTGTGTACAGTATATATAATAATGGGCCTAGGATGGATGCCTGTGGCACTCCTTTCTTCATCACAATTTATTCTGATTTAATTATTCCCGTTTTCCCCCCATTTTCAATCAAATGTTGGGTTCTGTTGGTCAAATAGGATTTCATTAAGTCCAAAGATGTGCTTTTGATTCTATATTCATCAAATTTCTTGCATAAAATTTCATGGCTGACACTGTCAAATTCTTTTGACACGTCAATACACAAAGTTACAATCATCTTTGTTCAATGGCTTGATATATTGCTTGTATGGTTGATTTACCTTTGCGGAATCCATTTTGTTCTTTTGCCAACAACAAATTATCATTTGAAAACTTAAGTGAACGTTTGTTCATGAGCTTTTTAAAAATTTTACTGGCATTTGGCAATAATGATATGGCTCTGTAGTTACTTTCTTCATCTCTGTTTCCTTTTTTAAATATAGCTTTAATAGATGCCACTTTCAATTTTTCTGGAAATACTGCTTGTGACAAACATGAATTTATACATTGTCGTTAGTGTTGTGGTTAAATATTTCATTCATACTCGAAAGTATCTGTCAGTTAAAGATACTTTTGAAGAGAATTATAAGTCATAATAATCAAGTCTTAGACAATAATTAAAATCGATATTTTTTATACATTCTATCCTCTACTGAATGGGGAATGTTCCTCAATTTGGGTTATTACAGCAAATGCAAGTTTGATCAAAATAAAGTTGAGTTTATTTTATGAGTTTTTCAAATTCACTTCGAAAAGTATTCAAATTGATGTTTCAAATGTTGGGTTTTAACTTTTAAAGGGATTTGTTTCTAATTCACATATTGGCAACAGCGCCTATATCAAGTTGCAATAATTTATACGTACCTAGATATTCTACTTTTAAAAAGGAAAATTATCTTTAAGAGCTCTTTTATGAAAACTACTTGATTTTCATCAGGAGGAACATTCCCCATTGCAAAGGAGTTAATTGAAGTGTTGTTGATGTAAATTTGTAATCTGAACTTTCCTGTTTTTTGCCTTTTTTCTTGTGAAGAATCTGAAAAAAAATATTGTAGTTCCTTCCATAAGAACCAAATATTTAGCATATTTTTCATACTGGTATGAATGACTAGTGCTTCATTTCTATTTCAACAAATTTTGGATAGAATTACAAATTATTTTTTAGGCAACGGACCTGACTTACTTGAAAATAAATTTCAATTGTACCAGAAGATCTATTTGGAGCACTCGTTTGGGATATCAACGGTTTCCCGGTCCATTTCCCATACCAATTAATTCTGTACATCCACTAGGAGGAACTATCGGAGCCATACAGATCAGTATTGCACGAGTTTATCCTGTGAAGTATTTGGAAAAATTGGGTTGTCAATCAGGTATAAAAATTGTACTTTGGTCCATATTAGAAAAAATATGCACCCGATTTGGAAGTAAACAACTTTGGAACACTTTCTCAAAGACGTTCCTCCAGAAGAAATTTACATTCATTGGTCATAAACTTTCGCAATAGTTTTGTTATGGTGTTAATCCGGTCAATCTAGACATTAGAAGGTACATAAATTTACAACGAAACGGTAAGTTTTATCATGAAATAACCTCAGATAAAAATCCTTTCCAAAAATGTATCAGTACTTTCTTTCTTAGAGCCACCGTTTCTAAGATACGACGAGTCAAAAAGTTGTAATCGTCATTATATGCACACGTTTCCACGCCAAGTGTACTTAGCGCGTTTTTTTTTAACGTGGTTTCCCCAATAGGCCTATAATGAAATATATCACGAAGGGTTGGAAATTATAAAAGCGATTAAAATTAAAAAAATGTAAAAATTTATTCATCTGATTCATAACCTTCAAATACTTCTTCTTGTCGTTCTTCTTTTTGGTCTTCTTCTTCTTGATCTTCTTCTTCTTCTTGATGTTCATCCTGGGTGTAGGTAAACTGCGTCAAGAGTGATGTATCGCATGTTTCCTCGTTGATATCAAATGAATCCTCCACTATTGGTGATTCAGCATTAGAACATGACTGGCCTTGACAATGTGTACATGCCAGAGAACACAACAGTCCAACTTTTACACAACTTCATTTAGCGCTGCATTCCTTTTTACAGTTGCAAAAAATTGTGTTCAGCAGTTTTTCCGGCGCAGGTGGGAGTAAAGTCTGAATAATGCATTGTCAACCAACTTCCAACCCCAGTCTTTTGGGTCTAGCTGATACCCAAGCCACACTTTAACTTGGTAATTTACCCGGAAAAGATGTTGATGAGCAGCAACTGAGGTTGGAGGAAGACAAGCTAATTGTACCTGTTTCTTATTTTTTGGTGTTTTTTACGAAACATGCATATCAATACTTATCTAAGCAGGTGTTTTTTTCGGAGCTTTGTACATAGAAAGAAGAAACTGAATCCCGTTGGTGATAATTTATTGTCGAGTCGAATTACTTTTTTTGAAAACTTCAGCACATTGGACTAAATCTTGTTTTCCAAACATCTTGAAGACTGTTGCTTTACCCCTCCTGTAAAATGCAGACGTCGTATCACAGCCAGTTATTGCGTGTAAAAATAGTACATGATTTTGACGCTTTGCAAAAGTAGATGAACTTTTTGACGAATATATTTCGGTTTGACTTTGAGCTTTTCCTGGCTTTAGAAAGAAAATAGTTTTTTCAGGTGGAGTTCGAGCAGTAAGA